AGGAACTGAGAAAAATAATCGAACATCTCAGTCAGAATAACGGGTGTCGTGACTGGGATTCGAAAGCGCATTCCACAATAGAAGTCTAGAATATTGTCTCGAGTCAAAACTGTTCGTCCGTCTGTACAAATACTGTATAATACACAATAAATAAGAAAGGAGCCGGGATAGCGCACTCATTATAGCGACTGGCTACGAGCTGGATGATCGAGGGTCGGAGTTCGAGTCCCAATTGAGTCAAGAATTTTCTCTTCTCCGCGTGTTCCAGATCGGTTCTGAGTTACACCAAACCTCCTATCCAATTGTTACTGTGGGTAAGCGGCCGAGGCTTGAAGCTGACCACTCACCTCCAGCTAGTGCCGAGATGAAGAAAATGTGGATCTATACATTCACTCCCTCATACGCTTTCATGGCGTTGTGCTTAATTAGTTAAGCACAGGGGCAACTTTGCCTTCTTACAATATAGAGGAAATCGTGTACATAGAACATAAAAATAAAAGCTCTAGGCCTGAAGAAAAATCAGTTTCGGAGAAATACAAAAAGGCAACTCGTGTTCAGACCAATGACTGAGCTGCAACATCAAGTTAGTGCATCTATGGGTTCGTCCTAAAATAGCGGTTTTATTAACAATAAAGTGGAACGAAACTTTGTAAACATAATGAATATACAGTGGCAAGGGCGTAACGGAAAAGGTTATTTTCAGCTTCTAGCTGTATAATAAACTGTGATTGTTATAGTTTTAATTGATGTATAGTTGTACAGTGAATGCTTACCATACTGTGAAACGGGGAGTCCTTTATCTGCAATATTAATGTTACAGTCTGAGTTACACATGTGTATAGAAATACTATGGTCCAACTAAATTGTGCTGCTGCTGTTGATGAGGACGATTTTAGTAATTCTGAGCAATTCGAACGATGAAGACAAGAAAACAGAACAATAAACCATTATAATATACAAATTGTGAAGAATTGGTAATGGAAAGAAATAAACTCACAATTTTGCATGGTAAATAAAGTTGTCCCTGTGCTCAACGAAAATCATGAAGGGGTATGGGGGAGTGGATATATAGATCGACATTTTCTTGACCTCGACACTAGCTGGAGGTGAATGTTTAGCTTCACGCCCCTGACGCTTTACCCCTAAGGAAAGAGCCCCCGGTACCAATTGGATAGGAAATTAGGTGGACCGGTTTGCTCGATTTGGAGAAGAGAAAATTCTTGACTTTACCGGGACTCGAACTTCAGACCCTTGGTCGTCCAGCCAGCAGCTGTACCGGCTACGCTACCCTGGCTCCTCAATATTGCATGGTGAGAAAGAAATATTTAAGAAGTCCAAATTATATTCAGTTGGCCCGCTTTTCGGAATTCAGTTCTTTCCACAAGATGCACATAGAATTAACTAGCCCTACATATTATAAAAAAGAAACATTAATTTTCAGCATTTAGAGTAAAGTCTTCTGCATTCTAACGACATGTAGAAGAACACCGACGTTTCGGAGGAACATGATATCTAGCATATTGCCATTCTGTTTACCAAAACTGGTCTATAGTTGAAGGCTCTAGATTTGTATTCTTTTTGGCAGTGTTTGGAACACTGGTAATCTTACTGAGACTTATCGAGGATTGCCTCAGTCCCTGCAGGCATGCGCTGTGGTAGTTACTTGACTAGGTGACGAGAGCTTCCTTCTCAATCCTTGCCACATCATCATCATTCACGCATTATCCTACAATTCGATCCTATATAGTCTGGATATTCTAGAGCGTCTTTATATATAAAACAAAACAGACTCCGTGGTGTTAGTCCGCAAGCAAACTATACCGACTGAACCACCGCCGATTGTTGGCGAAGTTAGTGTCAACTTTAGCGGATAGAGGGTGTCGCGTGGTCAGCGCAACGAATCCCCACAGCTGATAATTTCGGTTTTCTAATTGTGAGCTGTTATAATTTGATTGTAATTGTAATAGAAGTGCCAATATATCCAGTCATCCAATTCAGAACTTGCTACAATTAGTCACGCAGACACTTCATTGGCGAAAATATAAAGCCAAGAATATCACAATTTGGATCCAAATTAAATGTGTAAGCCAATAACAGGGTGAAATTGGCCATGGTCTCTCAGAAGCGGATTTTAAATAAGAGTTTACTGAATGAATTCGCTCACCTTGACTAGTAGATGGCAGAATTGTAATTCAAGGAAGCGCATGTACTGCGTGCATGGACATATACAGTGGCGTCAGTGGCAAAGTCTAATGACAATCTTCATGGGGCATGAAGCTGCCTCATGAGATACAACGGATTCTGGAAAGTCACATAGTATTCGTGGCACGGTGTCATTTAACATCACATCCTGACATCTTTACTGCCTATGTCCGGAGGTCATGTGTCACGGTGGACTGCTAACCCTGACACTTCAGGCAGCAGCTCCATACACAGCTCAGTAAAAATACTCAATTGAGTATCTTGAATACTGCAAAGCTGTATATCTCCTGATATGTGATGCTGATTGGTTAACAGCAAAACAAATGTAAAATAACCAAAAGTTCTTCAGAACAACTTTAAATAGATCTTCTTGAGAATCTAACAATAGTAAAGCCGGTCAAGAAATTTCCGGCTTGTTGTTGCATACTGATATTTCCATGCGCTTGCCTGTACGACTTGTAGAGTACACTTTGTAGCTACACAATCCCATCCATGCTAAGCTGCTCTTGTCTGGAATAATGCTGTTTAAATTGTTAGGTGGAATATATAGCTACTGGGTTACACAACACGTGTTTTTCATTAAGTTAAGAGCTTTTAAAATAATGTTCTCTACCTTCAATTATATGAATGTCATCCACAGAAGAGCACAACCAACTTATTACCACACAAGTGACACCACAGCCTGAATAGATCTGTCTTCACCGCTAATATTAAGAAGTACTTAAATATCGTAAATAATATTCATAGTTTAATAATGAGTACCAGTGAAGTGTATATGTGTTTCGCAGTAAGATTTAGTAATGAGTACCAGTGATGTGTATATGTGTTTCGCAGTAAGATTTAATAATGAGTACCAGTGATGTGTATATGTGTTTCGCAGTAAGATTTAAGAACGACAAGTTAATAAAGACTAACTGATTCAATATGGGTGTATTTTTTCGAGAGATTTGTCCTGTATGAAAATCAAAATGGGTCAATTCGGGTCGATAAACGCTTAAATTCTGTGATCAAGAAATAACAAAAAACGACTGGGTTTGATAATACAAATTATAGAGAAATAAAATATTTGAATGTTTAGGCTTCAGAAACGGCTACGTGAAGCTTTATTTTTTCCCCACAACGTAACCGAATAATAGAGTATTAAATACATTTTATTAAAATATAATTAAGACACCCTGCTATTATTTAATCTCCAGTTTTCGACATGTGAAAAGAACACAGAAAATGTATCAAAACAGAGAACTGGAGAGAGCATTTGGATCTAGGACAGGAAGTAACAGGAAACTGAAGAAATCAGCACGGTATGCAGTTTCACACAATTTGTACTCTTCCTCTAATAATATTACGGATATCGTATGAATGCAGATGAGATAGGCATGATATGCAGCACGGAAGATTTTATTGGGTAAATCTGGAAGGAGCACGGAACTCATGGAAACAGGCAGAACCTACGTGGGGGAATAGAGCTAAAATGGATCATTAAGAAAAATGGTGAAATAGTTTTGATTGGATTCAGCTGGATGATCATAAATACCAGTGGCCGGCTGTAATGGAAACGGCGATGGAAGTCTTATTACTGTTAGTATTCTATTACAGTTCCTGGTTATTTGTTGAATTTACAAACCTGGCAGTAGCCCAGACGTTATAGTGGCGATTAATACAATGAACAATAAATTGGAAAGAATGTAAACGAAAGCTGGTGACTAATTTAAGACTGTGGCCCGACATTTTCTTGCAGACACTGAGAAAGCTCACGGCGAACGTCAGTCATTATAGCTGATTTCCTGTCCGAGATTTCAATCCCGGACCTCTCGAGCACAGAACAAGAATATTACTATGTAAGATTTGAGGCTTTCACGCCGGTGACTATGAAGAAAGCAGTCTTCTGGGATTTGGCACCGTGTATATGTGGTGTTAACTGACGTTTTGGAGAAACATATCGCCTCCATCTTCAGGGTAGAAGAAAAAATATAGCACTCTGCTTTTACCGCTTCTCACGGTCTCTTCGCTTGCGGATTTCTTATATTTTTTCTTCTACCTTGAAGATGGAGGCGATACGTTCCTCCGAAACGTCGGTTAACACCACATATACACGGTGCCAAATCCCAGAAGACTACTTTCTTCAAGAATATTACTGTCAGCAACAGAGATCTCGCGTCCAATCACACTGCATAAAAATATTTTGACAATGGAAAATACATGCGTACAGGAAATGAATTGTTGCTGTGACGTCTGTGGGTTCCTGAAGGTTGAAAAGTAGTTGTTACGGCATAAAGTTACTTTCACGTTAGTCTAATGAAAGTCGTAACTGAAAGACAATACAATTTTGTAATAATACTGTAACGGATTTGATCATCTCGTTGCCAGGCAGCAGCTCTGTAAACACGGTACATTACGAACAATAGGCTGTTTTCTATGGGGTCCGAGCTGTGACCGTTGCTATGCAATGGTTTGGTAAACACGATTCAAAATAGAAGACGGTGTTTTCCGTGGGATCCGTGTAAATGAATTATCTTAAAAACAAACGACGCTATTGATCTGAGTTCTGAGTTCTCATCGTAGAAGATAGCCAAGGAAAGTTCGTGGACCTGTGAAGACTTAAAGTATGATTAGAATTGTAAATCTATCTGAAATGATCAAACAAAACATGAACTGGATAATGTTCATTTTCGGCCTTTTCGCCGAATAAAATGGACATGACAGGGCGCATTTCTATCTCACTCACCCTCCAAAATTTTATCGAAAATCCGTCGAAAATCTACTGATAACATGAAATGGAATGATTATTTGTTGTTTAGGATCCACCAAAGTACGAGTTTGGATATGACGTACGGGACGGAAAAGGTGGTCGGCAAGGTCACCTGGAGACTCGTGACGGGGTATACGCGCTGGGAGTTTACTATGTTAACCTACCGGACGGAAGTGGGCAGAGTGTTCGCTACTTTGCTGACGACTGGGGCTACCACCCTCTGGTGTCCTACAGCAGTTCCAGCAAGACTGGCACCACGAAGACACAATTTGCTCTTGGAGAAAAGGCAGTCGCTGCTCTGGCCAAGTCAAAAGAAACTAATCCTTCGGTACGTAATTAAGTTTATCAGCTGCAGACATATTATAACTGTACATTAACGGTGGAATTTTCTCGTTATAACCGACAATAATATCTAACACAATGGATGACAGTCAGTTGTGGGCAAATGATAAAGAAATTCCCCGTTCTTTATGGAAACCGAAAGTACGCAACAGCTTTCGTAGGAGGTTTTCATCGGACGTTGTCCTCTTGCAGTTAAATTCATGACACACACAAACACACTTTTACTATAGCATCCACTGAAATTCTATCTTACTAGTCACAGTGGCCGAGCGGTCTAAAACATAAAGTGTTTTGGCTCGCTCAAATACTAGTATCGTGGTTACGAATCCAACTAGGAGCACGGGATTCTTTCCGCCTTTTATATTTGTGTTACACTGTGTAGATGGGGCTTTGCGATAGTGCTGATCACCCGTCCAGGAAGTCCTACCAAATGTATATAAGATCAATAGTTCAAGATTAATTCTGATGGAAAACAGTCCCAAGGGCCGAATACGAAAAGCAGAAGAAGGAATACTATCCTAAAGTTCTCCACAAGATATATTTCATTTTCGTTTCCTGCAGTTCTTTTTTTTTTTTCCTAAATTTTGTACAACTTTCTCGTCACCCCACATGTGCATATGTGCAGTTCACCCAAGCACCAGTAATTTAATCGTCCTAATAAAATTTGTAAGTCGAAAAGAGAGTTAAACCAGCCAGTCACGTACCACAAATTGGGAGACGAAAAATAAATACATCAGTTCGAAAATCTGAAGAAGGAAAACACCTGTATGTAAGATTTGAGGCTTTNGATATAGAATTTCCTGAACAACTTAGAAGCTATCAGCTCCTCATCTGTATGGACATTCTTCTTAATGTTGTGTCCAGGAGAGCATTAAAATGAAGTAAATATCTGTTTCAGGTATCAGTGACTAGACCAACAGTGACTACGTTGATAAGCTCAGCGCTGAAACTTTCGGAAGATTCGGGCGGCGGTGATGCTGACAGTGGTGACATCCTTAAAATCAGACCCAGCAATGTAAAGCTGTCGGCTAACAGACTTGTAGGAACTGGAAGAAAGCCAACCATATCTTATCAGCAAGCATCGCGGCCCTCTGAAGAACAAGTTGATGTGTCTGCCGTAAACAACCTTGTCGAATCGAAGTCAGACTCAGGAAACGGTAAATACAAGGTTGTTACTCCCCTTTATACAACTCCGAACAAAATATCAGGCTCTGACTCTCATAGTTCTTCCTATGGACCAGAAGAGGCCTCTGCTTACGAACCTGGACAAGTGTATCAGCATATCGGCACGAAAGGAATAGGTTCTTCTAGCTATCAGTTTATCGAAATTGGAGGTGATTCATCTGGTGGTGAACATTTTAGATCGCCGTCTCCTGCAGTTTCTCAGTTAATTACTAAGCCAACAAATACTCAAAGTCAAAAGCTATTTGGTCATAAAGGTGCCGAAAATGTGAAAGTGACATCCTATTTAGGTGATGTAAATTCTCCATTGAAATTTGGCGATAGAATTCCAAACGTGAATTCAGATTTTACTCAAACAACTGCAAGCGTAGAGCAAGATCAGAATGAAATTCACAAAGGAAAACAAGAGGTACTTGAAGTTACTCCACTTCCAATATCTCAACGTCATCCCCCTTTGAGGCCGATTATAGTTGCTGATATATATCCAAAAGAAACAATAGGAACGGTGAGGCCCATTACCATATTACCAACTACAACACCAGTATCTATCTATGTAACTCACTCCCCAGAAACACCTTCATCAACTTCGACGTCTAGCTCAGGAAGCGCTCTAACAAGTCCCACCAATACTTTGAAACACGCAACTGGTAGCACGTATTCAACTCCAACGAATCTTTTATCACAGTCCCAGGCAGGATCACTGTCGTATTCTTCAGAATCAGAGAGTAATTCTCAATCGTTTGGATCCATTACCAATAACGGTCTTTCAGGCCACATCCTTCCTCCAGTTTATTCAACTCAAAAACCCATTATAATGTCAAACACAAAGGAAACTGCCTCCACGTCCTTTACTTTTGGTTCAGACGGAAGTTCATTGTCAACTGGATCTGGAGGACACACAGCTGATGCTGGAACACAAGCTTACAAAACTCCTGCACCTCTTGCAGTGTCATATGTACAAAGTATTTCAGGTGCACAAGAAGTGAACTCACAGCCCGCGGCTAGTGGGCATGCTACTTCAAAAGCACAGCAAACTCCATCCCCCATATTTGTATATTACTCAACTTTATCACCTTATTCACATACATCGAGTTCTGCAGTGAGTGGAACTAGCAATGATCACGGAGTCAGCGATGTGTACTCAACTCCGGCACCCTTATCGTTATCAGAGTCACAAGAATTTTCGCCTTCCGAAGCCGACGAAAATTCCAAACAGCAGTCCACTATAACAATCAACAGCGGAAATGCAGAAAAAACCATCGAAAATCAGCAGTCAATTCCCGCTACTGTTTACATATCACACACACCAATGTCATCCTCATTTTCGGTATCGATATCAAATTCGGTTAATTCTGAGTCCAAAAGTTCCGTCACTGCTACTAAGAATGCTGAATCTGGGCAGCTTATTCACAACAATATTCACTCAACAACTCCTCGACCTTCAGCAGAATATTATTCTAATTCTGAAGGTTCATCGTCAGGTAAATATATTGTCAGTCCAGCTACAATTCTCCTTAACTCAAATACTCAGCCAGTTGCAGCCGCCCTCACATCGTCAGCCGAAGTGCTGTCTCCAATACATGCTGCAGTATCACTGGGCACAGCATCACATCAAAATCCAACAGCAGTATCAGCTGTCTCTTCCGAATCTGCGTTAACACCACCCGAAGTGAAAGAAGCAAACGAAATACCACAATCAAAAACTGTTGTTGAAGTTCAGAAAGCTATTTCACTTGACTTAAATGATCTTACTGTTAAGCTTAATACAGAGCAGAAACCAGATTTAGAAGCTACCACACCAGCAGCGCCGATATTGTACTCCCAACAGACCGTAGGAAAAGGCAAAGAAGTTGACCACAGCAGCAGTCAGCAACACATATATAATGGAGGTCTCCTTGAGTACACTTACGGTCAGCCACTGACTGGGCTGCAGGTATACCCTCAGTTAAGATATAATTTCCCTCATATATCTGGATCCACTGATCAAGTGTTACTCGGATACAACCCACAACTGTATGAAACACAGAAACTCGTTCATTTGGGATACAATAGGCAGGAACAGTTACATGGGGGAGTTCAGCATGAAGCTCCGTACGAACATTCATTTGAACGACATCGGGAGTACACTCAGAAGCAACTGGATGGGCAACTGCAAGCAATAGCAGGGTATCAAGAGGGGACAGAGGCTGAAAAGCCGAGAGAAAAATATCAATACAATCAGAATTCTGCAAGTAATTTGAAAATTTATCAAGAGCAAGAAGACGCAGACAAGCAACCGGCGGAAACGTCATATATCCAAAAATTTTATGGCAAGGAGCACCTAGTTCTCCAAGAGAAATTGCCTGAAAAGACACAAACAGAAGAAGAACACAGTAAAAAATCTGTACAAATGGAAACTGATGTTCAGAAGCCTCAGGTTCCTGTCCAAATTATTCATGAACTAAAGTACGAACAACCATTCAGAGTTAATGAGCCAGTAGAACACCGGTCACCCATAGAAAATAACCAGGTATCATACCAGCTACTTGGCCAGCAGATAGGTTACGACGCACCTGCTGGAGTTCAACAGGAAATCGAATATCTGGGACCCACAAAACTTAAGCAGCAAGTTGAGCAGACAGTAAATACTGCAATAGTACAGTCCGGCTATGGTCATCAGACAATTTCCACACCAGACAACATTGTACAAATCACCCAGGGAAGCGAGCAAGGACCAAGGAGTAAGGGTCAACCACAGTATAACAGAAATCCCAGCGAAGTTTCAAAACAACTGCAGTCAGAATACAGTCACCAGTTATTAGAAGAAGAGAGACAGGAACAAGTGAGGCTTAGCAGCCAAATAGGCAAAGCATTAAATCAGATAAACGCTGAATATAATGAGGCCAGTGTAAGGACACAATTCCCGGTACACATTCTTAACGAAGGGAAGATCGTCTCTCTGCCTGTGGCTGCAAACTTACCTACTTTGTCCCCCACAACTTTCGTCCCACTGAATCAACCTCCTCAGTCAATAGAACAAATTAAGTTGGTAGAAGTTGAGAAACGTGTTCCAGTACATGACACAAAAGTGATAGAGAAGCCCATTCCTGTGCCCCATGCGGTCCCCATCGAGATCACGAAACTTGTAGCTGTTGACCGACCAGTGCCATACCCTCAACCCTACGCTGTCCCACATCCGGTACCTGTCCCGTACGCTGTGCCTCACCCAGTAGGAGTTCCTGTACCCCATCTTGTTCCCTACCCCCATGTTGTAACCGTCCCTTATAAAGAAGTGCATCCGGTCTACATCCATACTGGTAAACCTCACAGGAATGAATTTCGCGACCACACACAAAATATCCCCACCAACACACCCTTGCCAGTCATCTTGAAAGCTCTGCAGTACAATGGAGGGCGCTACGGAGTACCAGTGTCCATAAAACCTCAGTCTGTCTTTCTTACACCACCTCCACTAAGACCTGGCGGAAAAGCAAGAGGCCTCCAACAGAGCAAGCATTTTGACCACTTCAGGACACTTTGTATTGAGTATGGATTTAAACCTCCTTTAGTACCATCTTTACAGATTGATGAGGTTCCCCTATCTGCATACGGTCCTCCACGGAAAGATTGAAAGGGCTTGTACGCTTATTAATGAATTATTTAATTGCTACGCAGTCACCGATACATAAAAATATATATTCTTGTGTTGAACTGACATTGTCAACCGTTCACATTAATCAAGTGCTTATGTCACACTCGAGCTCTTTTTTCATATATTTCATTACTGAATAAAGCTCGGCGCTCTATAGTAAGGAAGAAATTGCATTAAGTTCAGATCAACATAATATCAATATAATTAGTTGGAACAATCAATATTTTTACGAACATTGAATAGAAGAGTCAATTCCGAAGACCTGTTGTTTACACTGCTACTGTAAACTATTTATGTAAATATGTGTACAAATAAATGCGAATAATCACATCTGGAGACTTGTTATAAAGAATGTTCTGTCATATTGGCATACTGATAGAATTGTATGCTTTACAATGTTGAAGTATTCGCTCAGACGAATACTGCAGTCATTTAAGTTATATTAATTTTGAACTATAAAGTAGCTGTTTCAACGTAAGCGACAATATGGTTGCCTTTCCCCCAGAGTCATGCCCAGTGAGGAACTGCTAAGGTTAGGTAAAGTTGTCCCTTTGCTTAATTAGTTAAGCACTAGGCGACGAAAACCTATAGGAAGTGCTAGTACAGCTCCAAAAATTGTAACTTTGGCACTAAATGTAGGTGGTTACTCAGCTTCATGTCCTGGCCGTTTTACCTCCATGAGAAAAGCCTCCACCCCTCGTGATATGACACATAGTACAGCACAACAAGCAGCAGATTATTAGAAAGGGAAACGGAAGGCATCAGTAGGTCATCTTGGATGTCAGAGTTCACTACACGTGAAAATGTGTGCAGAAAATATTATACACCTGCGAGAAGCTTATCCGTCTCTAAACTCACTATCTCTATTAGCCATCACTTTGTTGAACGGTACAAAAATGGTAATCTCCAATAAATATATTTGTAAATAATATGAGGCAGTATATTGCGTTTTGCGAAAGTTGAAGTTCGGTTAATGTAGCGTACGATTTGGGTAAGTGTGAACATGATGGTGGTGGGGGACATAAAGAGAGGGGTGTAGACTACCAAACGCGTGTTTCAATTTAACTCGTTGCAAAGATTTATATTCTTAACAGGGAACTGATATCCACAGATACACAAATGTATTGAGACTGCGAAACAGAAAAAGATGCAAGCTAAAAGCGTAAACAGTTGGTAAAGCTGCGCTTAACTTTTAGCTCTTAAGGGATGAGGTTAGGGTAGTTAAGGCCAGCTGTAGGAGGAAGGGGATAGCGAAATATAGCTAAGCGGTTTCTAACATATTCACGCCGACCGCAAACACACATTTCACTAAAACACATCGGTAAAATGAAAATGTATCAAGAACAATGCGTAATACGGAATTACATAGCAGCAGAAGGAGAGAAGGAGAGGGGGAAGTAAATTCACTATTAAAAGTGACATTTAATTGTTCCTTAACTTGCTTACTCTGATTGCAGGACGTCTGCATGTAAATCTGTTAAGAGCATTCATTTACAGCCCTACACGTTTGTTTCCCCTGTACCACCTATTCCCTTTAGAGCAGCGCTTTTACGTTATACAAAGTAAAGTTACCCCTATAACAGGCGGCGAAGGCCGATAGGGTTGTGAGACGTCGAGGCTCCCACATTTTCTAGACAATCCGCTCACAGATGGAGTTGAGGTTGTCAGCCTTACTCGCCTGCCTTCCCTTACCCCCAGGAATATTACTGGTACTCCTTTCGATTAGAAACTGAGTGCCCCCAGGGACATAGGGAGGCTAGAAGGATTAGGTCAATTGATAAATTCAATGACCTCATCGGGAATCGAACCCGCGACCTCCTGGCTTGCAGCAGAGTGCCTCAATTACGCTACTGTGTGTCACTATATTTTGTCCAAGTTATTTATAAAACTTTGTCATGTACTGTAGTTACATTTCTTGTACAATTGTAGTTCTAATAATATACACAAATATTGAACTGGAAATAAAATATTTACATGAAATTTTAAGCGTGCTAAAGTTCACAGTTATTATTGGGAAGCAAAGGGTCCCTCAGGTAATCAAGAAATTATCATACCTGTCATGTATAGAACCTGCAGTTGCGTTAAAATGTTTACTGCAACCTGACACTGAAACCTATCCTGGTATACACTAAGACGGCAAAAACCCACATATCTTATTTCTCCAAGATAAGGTTATTTTAATATTGACCTCCCACCTATATCGCTGACCCTCAAATTGCTTATCCCTTAAGACTGTAGAACTAAAATTTTATATGCATATTTCATCTGTCTCATGCGTGTTACATAGTCACACAGGCCGCGCCATAGCTCAAGCGGGTAGTCGCTGGCTTCCCACCGCGGTGGGCCGGGTTCGATTCCGGGTCTGGTCAAGTGGGATTTGTGGTGGACAAAGTGGCGCTGGGGCAGATTTTCTCCGAGTTCTTCGGTTTCCCCTGCCAATATTCATTCCGCTAATTGCTCCACAATCATCCTCGCCTATCATCTGGGGCTGATACTATAGGCCAGAACTGGCCGCAGTACAAGGGACTTAGTATCACCCCACTAGCAATAAAAAATACATAGTCACTCATCTCATTTTCCTTCATTTAATCTCCATAGTATTATTTTCTTAAGCGTACAAACTATGAAAGGCCGGGATAGCTTAGTCAGTATAGCGACTGGCTACGACCGAAGCGTTGCATTTCGAGTCGCGGTGGAGTAAAGAATCTTCTCTTCTCGACGTCGTCCAGGCCGTCTCTGGGCCCCACCCAACCTCCTATTTAATGGGTACTGGGGGCTCTTTCCCCGAGGGTAAAGCGTGAAGCACAGAGCCGTGGACTCGTCAAATTACTAAAAAGCCTCTCTGTATAATTAATTTATGTAAATTCCCGTTCTTGTAATATATGCTGATGATAATTACGCCTCAGTAATAATATAAGATTTGATAATAATACAGCGACTACAATAATGCAACTTAATACACATTGCATTAAAGATAAATGGTTAACTTGTTCATAATAGTTTTATTCTTCACATTTGTGTTATACTCGTACAAGATTCTTTTCAGATTTATATATTTAAAAATTTTGCTTTAACCCATTCGAACACATTGAAACATACAAAACAAAATACTGACAACTGAGATGTGAGATAATTGGAGATTTTTCCTGTTCTTTGTTCAGCTGTTCCTTAATCTCAGTATTTCCTCCTTGCTCAAAGCGAACACAGCAATTTACACGGAAAAAAGCCCCCCTCCCCAAATAGATCCGTTAGTCTGTAAATTTCTGAGAGGAGAAATTCACATGTTTTTAAATTTGTAAATGATAACTTTTCCGTGATCCAGTGCATTTTGACTTACAACCTGCAGTATCACTTTCAGTTATTTCATTGTTTTATTTTCAAAAATATGTTCCAAATTTAGGTTCATTTTTATGGAGATCTGAATAATTAGACTCATGTATCTTCATCAGTTCTTAGCAAGATAATCAGCAACAATTTGGTACATACAAAAGAACTGGTCACGTTCATGTTTATTCATGAATCAAGAGAATAAAGTAATCAGAATGCACAATGAGTGAAGGGATGAGAATTGTCATGGCATAATTTTCTCGTTTTTTATGATGATAAATAATTCAGATCAGAATATATTAATAACTTATCGTCCTTCCATCAATTTGTATAATTTTAATATCGCTTCAGAGTCAAATGCATCTTTCATACTACGAATTGCTACAAAAGTTAATCGAATAAAATTAATTAGAATGAAAGGGTTTGAAGAATATATGAAGCAAGAAACGGGCATGAAGCACGTAGCATGCAGAGCTCAGATAAAAGAAAAACCCAGGATCTATAACTGTCCTCAGAAAAACCTTGTTTTAGCTACATTCATTTAAAAGTTGAGGTCTGAAGAAATACTGTAATTTCGTCAATACTGGATTTGATATGAGAAACAATGTTTACACTACTGTGTCTGGGACGAACAATCGTTTTCTCCAGAAACAAAATCATTACACTTTGTTCTATGTTTTGTAGTTCCATTAAAGCAATACATAATAAAATGTTGAAACATGAGGCTGAGCGTTATATACAAGGTTCACAGTTAAATGTCACGCCTGGGAAACTTCAACGAAAAGAATTCTGTGAAGAAATGGGTAGAAATAATGTCGACAATTCATATCGACAATGTAAGTCATTATACTCTTTGTCCTGTGTGCAGGCTTGAACGAGGTTACAAAGGGTGCATTCTATACACCCAAGCTTTTGGTACTGTTCTGAAAATGTAAAATGGTATTTGAAAATATGAAAAATGCGGAAATTTTCACTTATTTATAAGTGAATCGGCCATACAGATTCCACTTTCAGGACGTTAAAATGATCATTTTAGTAGGCAACGCCATGAGTAAGAACAAATAAAATGGCTAATGACGAATAAGGGTCAGATGAATGTTAGAAATGTATTTTACCACATACTGATTGCAATTCTCAGCTACTTGTATTTTCTTGAACATAACTGTCATAGTTTATTATCGTGGGAACTCTCTTAAAGCAAGTATTGTCTCATCTATATTTTACACCTTCTCATTTATAAGGAACACTAATTTACTTACTTGCAGTTACAATGGCGAAGAGTTACTTCTCTCTACATGAATATACGGTATACTACTCTGTAAAACAATATAAATCTTTAAGCAAAATATAAAAATTGAATATATGATTTGAGGTCCTCACAGATGTTGTTATGAAGACTTACAGCTTCTGGATTATACTGCAGTGTTGTCCGTTGAAATTCAACTGACGTTTAGAAAGAACATATCACTTCCATCTTCAGGGTCGAAGAATAAGCAAAGCCAGAACAACATGAAGAAGGTAGCAAATAGCGGTCGTGATGGTTCCTTACTTGGCTTACTTTGCGAAGATGGAGATTAGATGTTCCTCCGAAACTTCGGCCGACTTTCAACAGGTTTCTGAGTTATAGCTCAGAAGATAAACTCTTGATAAGAGCACAATTAAATTAGATTTAAAGCAGTTCCAGAAATGTTTTTGATGTTAGCGGATATTCGAATAATGCGCAAACAACTGGCCGCCTGTCACTTCTCACACCCTCGAACCCACCCCCTTGTCTGAAATGTTTCTTCTGCGCATTCAAGGTTACTCTTGGCCTTGTTCGAAGTTACGTGACACTTGCTATAAAAACGACGACGAACATAGTGCAACGAATATAGAATGGGTCGATTTCTATTTTTGCACTTTTTTCAAAACGTAGACGCGCATACAA